GGGGGTCTCTGTCTGAGTCTACAGGGGGTCTCTGCACGGTCTGCAAGCGCCCTTTTACGTTTGCCTCCTCCGCCTCTTCGTCCTCCATGAATCGCCACCTCCTTCCTCTTCTTCCACCCCGTCCACTCCTCGTCGGAGTCGCTCGACCGCCCGCACTCCGCTCCATTGCCCCTCGCCCTGCGCTTGCCGCGTGCGCGCATGAACTCGGGCTGGGCCGGGTTCATCCCTGCGCAAGGAGGCAGTCGGTCATTGTTATTTGTACGTATTGGCGGGACACCGGTGCAGCATAGCAACACACCGGGTCCTCGTAACACAGTCCTGACGATGTGATTATTATCAGAGCGTGTTTGTTTGCGTGTTCACCACAAGTACGCGTGGTTAATGCAGTAACTTTATTCCTTGCAAAAGGAATAATCTATCTGGTGTGTGAACATATTAACACCTCCTGTTTTATTGCCAGAAAGGGTAAAACCGATTCTTATTTTTCATAATTTGATACTGGCAAAAAGGTCCCATGATATAGCTGCTCACCCCGAGCTATAAATGCTCTTGACACTGCATTGTCTTTGCGCTAGTCGCCTTTTGGTGTTGTTCTCTGGTCTGACACTGGTGAGACTAGGCCATGAAGAAGGCTGTCTCTGGGGTAGACCAATCAGTTTCAAAGACATGATTAAATATTATCAGAGAGTGTTTGTTTGCGTGTTCACCACAAGTACACATGGTTGATGCAGTCACCTGATTCCTTGCAAAAGCTATAATCTATCTGGTGTTTTAACATCTTACCACCTCCTGTTTCATTCCCAAAAAGCGTAAACCCTATTTTTATTTTTCATAGTCTCGACGATGTCGCTGTTGTACTCAGATTCAGCAGCCGCGTCCCCCATTCCGAACGTGCGGTGGCGACACCACGAGTTGTATCGAGGCACCGTCCGACCGAGTCTCTAGGGGCACGAGGAGTCCAATCTTGCCACTGGAGCACGGAGCAGCCGAACGTCATCAGACTGGGCGCCGCTGTATGGCAACAGACTGCGAAGCTTCGTGTTCAGTCCTGCTCATGTAACGTTCCGTCTTCCCACCGCTTTGGCATCACGACAACTGGTTTTGACGCACCACCACCACCACCCCGAAATATCCTTCTGTTCGGGGTCTCGAATCGCGAGGAAAATAAATAATTTTTGCCACAAATGTGCTGATTATTTTATACAACGATTAGGTGTACCGCCACTACGTTCATTTATATTATTTGGCTGCTACAACAACAACCCCAAGCAATACAGTAAACACGATAGGAGTGAGTCTAGATTTGAAGCTTTCGTGACTGCAAGGATTCATACTCTTACCTTTTTTCGGTAAAGTCACGTAGGTAAAAATAAAAATAATAGAAATAATTTATTTTATTTCTATTATTTTTATTACTTATTTTTTACCTACGTGACTTTACCGAAAAAAAATTAAGAGTATGATAGGAGTGCAAAGTATAGGAAAGGTAAACAAATCACACACACAAAATAAACTATTTTTGTAAATGTTGTGGGTTTACTCTCCAACACTAGGAATCCGATGAGCTATGATGTCCCATAGGAAGCACGGGGTCAGAAAGTTACAACACAATACACAAACACGATAGGAGTATTTTATTATTTCCCTTTTACGTGACTTTACCGAAAGAACCAAGAAGACTAATGTATTTTGAACTATATATTAGTGCTTTTTGGTTTTTTATTATTTTAATTTCAAATATTTTTTATTCACATTATTTTAATTTTATTTTTTCAATCCACGTCACTTTACCAAAAGATCCAAAGATTATGACTTCCTGCAGTCACGAAAGTTTTAAGTCAAAATTTATTTTTGTAAATGTTGTAGGTTTCCTCTCTAACATTATGAATCCGTAGGTAAAAAATCTAATTAAAATTAATAAAAGTACTTTTATTAATTTTAATTTTATTTTTTACCTACGTGACTAGAATTATGAATCCGATGAGCTATGAAGCTCTTTTTCATAAATGTCCCATAGGGGGCACACGGGTTCAGAAAGTTACAACAACACAAAACACATACACGATAGGCGTGCAAAGTAGAGGAAAGTTAAACAAATCATTAAACTAAAACTAAATCTATTTTACTTCACCAGGTGAAGTCCACTGAGCTATTGGCTTGTTTTTCAGAAGCGACCTGGCTGCTACAAATGACAGCTCAACCAAGTGGCTTACCACGTGGACATTTATAGCAGCAGCCAAATACGTTAAACGCGTGATGTTGATTCTACATGTGGAGCGAAAACCCGGAGGACCGGGATCGAACCCACGACCTCCTGTAGACCAGGCGAGGTAGTTAACATCTCACCGGGGAGAGACACACGCAGACTCCAGATATATGACAGGCATCGTCAGGGTCGGGATCGAACCCACGACCTCCTGTAGACCAGGCAAGGTAGTTAACATCTCACCGGGGAGAGACACGCAGATTCCAGATATATGACAGGCATCGTCAGGGTCGGGATCGAACCCACGACCTCCTGTAGACCAGGCGAGGCAGTTAACATCTCACCGGGGAGATACACACGCAGACTCCAGATATATAACGGGCATCGTCAGGGTCGCCATCGAACCCACGACCTCCTGTAGACCAGGCGAGGTAGTTAACATCTCACCGGGGAGAGACACACGCAGACTCCAGATATATGACAGGCATCGTCAGGGTCGCCATCGAACCCACGACCTCCTGTAGACCATGAGAGGGAGTTAACATCTCGCCACCATGGCGCCCCATGCATGCCACTCTGCTACGACGTCTTGGTCTCATCATTATAATTACTGCGACAATTAGTTTAGTTGCGAAGAGGCTCGGCCTGCCGTACCCACCGAGGTTCAGCAGGACGGCGTGGTTCTGCTTGATGTTCCTGTAGCGCCGCTTCTCGCACTCGGCCAGATCGCTCCACTCGGCCTTGGTGAAGAAGCCTCTGATGTCTCGGAAGTCGCCCATCTCCTGCTGCTGCTGCTGAAGCGCAGAGACACGGAGGGACGAGACGCGGACGACGGTCAGACGCAGTCACGGAGATGGAGTCACACGGAGACAGAGTCACAGGGAGACAGAGTCACAGGGAGACACAGTCACACTGAGACAGAGTCACAGGGAGACAGAGTCACAGGGAGACAGAGTCACACTGAGACAGAGTCACACGGAGACAGAGTCACAGGGATACGAGACTAAGATCCCCCGTGTGGCCTTAACAGACTGTCGGGTCAAGCGCTGTGAGCGAGTAGCGGCGCCTATGAAGGCCGGAACGACACACGAGGGGGGGGTGGGTGGCCAGCACCACGCCCGGCCGCCTTTGTCTCCCCAGTGGCGATGTTCACTACACACCGCTACACCAGGAACTCATTTGAGGCCGAGTCGACCTAGGGGATGAGGCCCAGGACCGGTTCAGAAAATCGTCACCGGTGAGGTAACTTTACCTCAGATGAGGTAACTTCACTTCATGCGAGGTAACATTACATTAGGTGAAGTAAAATTACTTCAGGTGAGGTAACTTTTCCTTTACCTCATGCGAGGTAACGTTACCTCGCGGGAGGTAACATTACCTCAGGTAAATGTAACATTACTTGATGTTATCCTAACGTATTCACATCACTTCAGCTAATGACCCTATCGTAATATTCTCACGTAGTTAAATCGGTAAACACAATTATCGCGTGATTATTACCTCAGGGTAAGGTAATCGGAATGCAATGGAAGGCGACGTAACTTTACCTCGCGGGAGGTAACATCACCTCAGGTAAATGTAACATTACTTGAGGTAATCCGAACGTATTCACATCACTTCAGCTAATGTTCATATTTTTACGCTAATATCGTAATATCGTCACGTGGTTAAATCGTTAAACACAACGCTCGCGTGACGTCACCACCTCAGTGTCGAGCCGTCGACACTTCACGCGGCAGCCTCGAAGTGCACCCAGCCTGGCACAGGCGCCGTGTTGACGTCACCGTCACTCAGTGGCCAATGGCGGCGGTTGGTGGTGGGGGGGAGTGGGGGGTGGGGGCATCGGGGGTGGGGGCGGAATGGCGGTTGGGGGAGTGGGGGGAGGGGGGAATGGAGGGTGAGAGGGGTGGGGGGAGTGGGGGGAGTGATGGGGAGTGAGAGGGGGGTTGGGAGTGGGGGGTTTGGGGGGGTGGGGGGAGTGATGGGGTGGGGTACCGCCTTCAACTTTTTTTTATGAACGACTGGGTGTTTAAGGTTAGCGATTAGTCGTATTATCCGGCTGTATAGCAAATGAAAAAATTGAAATACTTTACTGTGCAAGTAAAAAATGTGTGTTTTAATGTTTACGTTTAAAAAATAATAATTGGGCCCCTTTATAGCACATGCTACAGGCCCCGAACTAACTTTATCCGGCACTGAGGGTAAGGTAATCAGAATGTGATGCAATCCGTATCAAATCACGTTATATTATAAGGTAATCTTCACCGCGACATTCTCATTCAGTGCAAAGTAAATATTGTACAATTAACTAGTCGCTCGTATCAACACTGTACGAGACGTGTAGCTGTAATCGTAACGTGAAGTCGTCTCGTAGCGTAAATCTTACACGATTTAAAATTCGCGTGAGATACAATCCTCACTTGACTACTGGTAGGAACCTCCTGGTTACACCAGCCCACAGGGGATTATTGTGTCCGTCCGTCCGTCGTGCAGGGAGGGGCTGGGTGGGGAGGGAGGGGCTGGGTGGAGAGGGTGGGGAGGGGCTGGGTGGAGAGGGTGGGAGGGGCTGGGTGGGGAAGGTGGGGAGGGGCTGGGTGGGGGGTGGGAGGGTGGGGCTGGGTGGGGAGGGGCTGGTCACCCCGTGGTGCCCTTATAAAACTCAACGTTTAACCTACTCACGCCGGCTTGTGCCCGCCCTCACAGTCGACCATTTTTACGGAATACACCACGCCGCCGTTGACCCTGGCCATTGACCCTGGCCATTGACCGAGCAGCCCAACGTTCTTACCAGCTAGCTCCCTCCACAGGAATGTGTTAAAGGGGTCCTAAATACAATACAAACACGTACATTTTAAAACACAAATTGTTAACTTGCACAGTAAAGTAATTACATATTTTCATTTGCTATACAGCCAGATAATACGACAAATCGCTAACCTTAAACGCCCAATCGTTCATAAAAGTTGAAGGCGGTATAGTACTACAGTAATAGAGCAAGTGCAGAATCACTGAACCGGAATTAAGAGCTTGAAAGCATTTAGCGAGGGGCCCTTAAAAGTGCGGGGCCCGTAGCATTTGTAGCAACTTTTTTACACGCTTTTATTTAACTCACTCTGTTGTTGTTGTATCCTCTAATCTTGTAACTCAATTTTAACCCACTTCCCAATGTGCTATCGACTGCAAACTTGGTATACTTATGTCATATTGATGACAATACTATATTCTATCATTAAAAAAAAAAAGATTTTAAACCATCTTTTTTATATGTTACTAGCTTTACTACCCGGCTTCGCCCGGGTACTTGGATTCACCACGGCCGGCCGCCTTTGTCTCCCGAGTGACGATGTTCACACACGACACCAGTTACTCGTGTGAGGCTGAGTCGACCTAGGGGGGGCCCAGGTCGGGTTCAAATAATCGTCACCGGTGGTGGCCGTGAGTGGGAATCGGCGTACGTGTTACAAATTGACTAACTTTAGTTCATAACCAGGCTACAGTGTACATGATAGACTGGCAGTACACCCAGGCAGCTAAATAAGCAGGCTACAGTCTACATTATAGACGGGCAGTATGCTCAACCAGCTTAATGACTATTTGTACAAAGAACATTTAAAGAATCGATTATAATAACCAGGCTACAGTCTACATTATAGACTGGCAGTACAGCCACTCAGCTTCATAAGCAGGCTAGAGTCTACATGATAGAGTGGCAGTACGCTCACGGAGCTTAATAAGCAGGCTACAGTCTACATTATAGACTGCCAGTACACTCAGGCAATTTAATAAGCAGGCTACAGTTTACATTATAGACTGTCAGTACGCTCACCCAGCTTAATGACTATTTGTACATTCACCATTTAAAGAATAGATTCTTGGCGCATTGGGTTTAAAAGTAATATTAATTGCACACATTGTGGTGGGGGGGGGGAGTGAAAAGGACGTGAAACTTTGATGAATTTACCTAAGAGTCGCGTGGTGGGTGTGGAGGCCTAGTAGCGTGCAGAGCCTCCAGCCTCGCCTAAATTGGCCACCCGGCAGAGGCAGGGTACGGGTGGCGTTCCCCCGCCCCGCGCTACAATAATAGTGTGTAATCGCTATAATTTCATAATGTACCAACCCTAGAATAGTAATAGCACACATTGTGGTGGGGGGGGGGGGGGGGGGGGGGAGTGAAGAGGACGTGAAACTTTCAATGAATTTACGTCAGAGTCGCGTGTTACTGCGTGCGCCTATTTTTAACTGCAATTAAAAATGGCGTCCAGGCCTTGGCGAAGGCGTCGCTACCCGTTGGCAGGGCCAACCGCCGTCCAATGAAAGCGGCGAAGGCGTGGCTACCCGTTGGCAGGGGCAACCGCCGTCCAATGAAACTGCAGCCCGCGGCGAAGGCGTCGCTAGCCGTTGCCAGGAGCAACCGCCGTCCAATGAAAGCGGCGAAGGCGTCGCTAGCCGTTGCCAGGGGCAACCGGCGTCCAATGAAAGTGCGTATGGTCCGGCGACACACAGACAGACAGACAGATTCGCGATTTTATATATATAGATGTTTCGAGTTGGGTCTAATAGTCCACGCTCAACTGACGTTGGCTGTAAATCACCACTGCCCCTTACGTTATGGCAAGCTTTGGGGCCACTTCCTGGAGTCGTGAAGTTCTTCCATTGCTAGTACGGTACATTTCATTAAAGCGTGTTTTAAAAAAAGTTTTTTTTTATGTTTCTTATTTTGCTACTAGGATCATCCGGCACTGGCTGGGTGCACTTTGAGGCTGCCACGTGAGGTGTGGACGGTTCGCTGCTGGCAGCAGGAAGTCACGGGACAGAACCAGCAGGTGCCATGGGTTAAACGCTATAAAGTCACGGTGCAGTGTAAGCTACGTTTTACTGTTACAGGGTAAAGCCTCACTGAGCTGTGTAGCTCTTTTGTCCGAAGGCACCTGGCCAACACAAATGATAGCATCTCGACCAAGTAGCTGATATTATCATAATCACGTGGATATTTATAGCAGCGGCCAAATACTCTAAACACGAGTTTCAACAGACTCAGAGACCCATAGAGACCCACACTCTGAGAGACCCACACTAAACTATGTTTATTGTTATCGGGCAAAGCCCCACATTAGCAATGCAGCTCTTTTCCAGGAGCGACGTCGCCATCACAAATGATAACAGCTCAAACGAGTGGCTGATATCATCATCTTCGCGTGGTAATTCATAGCGTCAGCCAAAGTCTAAACGCTTGATTCTACATACTGTACTCGTAGAGGCCCATAGACACACACAGAGACCCAGAGACTCACATAGACCCTTAGACCCACAGACTCATAGAATCATAGAGATCCATACTCATCGAGACCCATACTAAAACGAAACTATTTTTTATTGTTACCAGTTAAGACCCCACTGAGTTGTGTAGCTCTTTTGTCAGAAGCGGTACTGGGTCATCATGAATGATATCAGCTCAGCCAGGTGGCTGTCATCATCATCATCATCACCACGTGGAAATGTACGATGATTCTAAATGTGGAGGGAAAAACCGGAGGACCCGGAGATAAAATCCACGCAGTGACCACCACATGGAGAGAGAGACATGCCAACTCCAAATATACAGCAGCAGGCGTCGTCAGGGTACAGGATCAAACCCACGATCTCCTGTACACCAGGTGAGGGAGTTAACATCTAGCCTGGCACAGCAGTAAACCCATGACAGTTTAACACGTATCATCCAAAATAAGCCTGGCACAGCAGTCAACCAATGGCACCTGCAGGGTCTGCCCCGTGACCTCCTGCTGCACCTAGCCTGGCACAGCAGTCAACCCATGGCACCTGCAGGGTCTGCCCCGTGACCTCCTGCTGCACCTAGCCGAGCACAGCAGTCAACCCATGGCACCTGCTGGGTCTGCCCCTTGACCTCCTCCTGCACCTAGCCTGGCACAGCAGTCAACCCATGGCACCTGCTGGGTCTGTCCCGTGACCACCTCCTCCTGTACCTAGCCTGGCACAGCAGTCAACCTCCTGCACCTAGCGTGGCACAGCAGTCAACCCATGGCACCTGCTGGGTCTATCCCGTGACCTCCTCCTGCACCTAGCCTGGCACAGTAGTCAACCCATGGCACCTGCAGGATCTGTTCAGTGACCTGCTGCACCTAACCTGACACAGCAGTCAACCCATGGCACCTGCTATGTCTGTCCAGTGACCTCCTCCTGCACCTAGCCTGGCACAGCAGTCAACCCATGGCACCACTAATGTATGCAAGCCATCATTAATATGATTGGTCTGCGCTGATTGGACAAACGGTTGGATTTGAATCGATAAATTTAATTGAATTAATCGAATTAATTGAATCAATACAAACGAGTACGGTGGAATCGCTTCTTGAATCGATTACGATAGGCAAAACAATTATACTCAGTAAGGATTTAAGCTTTATCGATTCGGCGATTTTTTTTAAATAAAAAAATCAATTCATCATATATTTTCTGACTCTATTCCGTTATTATAATGCAGCGCCACTCCTGCAGGAAATATATAATCAGACTTCTAAATAATCGATTACTAATCGCGGAACTATATAATGGAATCATACGCGTGGGATGAATTGTTACCGAGGAATCGAATCGATTTCGTAATGATTGGTGACGTCACTGCGCACGAGACACGAGTTGGGTGGGACCACCACATCACACAACGGGAGGGGGTGCATCTTATATTCACTTACATTTATATTTCTTTTCCTTAGCGTTTGAAACATAATTAACCATCGCATTCGTTTATGAAATGCTAGAAAATTTGCTAAAATATATAGTTTCATAAACTTCATATATAAAATTAAAATAGTTTAGACTTTAGAGTAAATAAAATTAATTTCCCCCTATTTTAGCCGCTCCCTACAAGTAAAGTGGAACAGTCCGGGACTTGAGAGCTCAGGGCTGTGATTGGCTGCGAGCTCCCCCACATCTCAAAAGCGCAGCACGTGATGAGGGGGGACCGCCCACAGCGCACCCCTCGGCCAATCACGAAGGGGGGAGGGCGAACTCTCTTGCCGGGCGCGTTATCTTTGCGGCGTGAGCCAATCAGAGAGCCGCATTATCCCCCCCGCACCCCCACCCCTCTAACCCTCCCCCTGTACACGCCCCAACTCAGAGCGTTTAGCCAATCAGAGAGCTGCATTATCCCCCCTGCCCCCTCCCCTCCACGCTTCGAAACGCCCCTCTCGACGCGTTGAGCCAATCAAACACCCGTATCACCCCCCCCCTCTTCCCTCCTCACCCCTCCCCTCCGTACACTCCGCAACTCAGCGCGTTGAACCAATCAGAGAGCCGTATCATCCCCCCCTCCACCCTTCACCCCACCCACTCGGCGCGTTAAGCCAATCAGAGAGCTCCATTATCCCCCCGCACCTTGGCCCCTCCCCCTCTACCCCTCACCCCCCCTCCTGCCCCACCCCCCCCGGCTCCCATTCGGCTGAGGGCAGAGCGAGCGACGGAAGGCGGCTGACGGGGATTCGCAAAAAATTACAAATTTTTATTAAAAAATCCGCGATAATTTAATCGTCAACTCCCATTGTCACATTCGCCATTTCTCCTCCTCCCTCCTGTCTGTTTCTTGTTCGGCGAGATGGCGCTCAGCGATGCGGACGTTCAGAAGCAGGTGAGGGGGGCGACCCGGCTGTAGCATCGCGGGCCGCGGTTCCATTGAATCGAACCGTGATGGCACCACGGTGGCTGGGCGATGTTGACGACCTCGCCCGGTCTACAGGAGGTCGTGGGTTCGATCCCGACCCCTGACGATGCCTGCTGTGTATGTGGCGTCTGCGTCTCTCATCATCATCATGGTGGCTGGGAGTGTTTAGTAGTGTAGTGTGTATTGTAGTGTATAGTAGTGTAGTGTATAGTAGTGCAGTGTAGTGTATAGTGTAGTAGTGTAGTGTATAGTAGTGTAGTGCATAGTAGTGTAGTGTATAGTGTAGCACTACACCGGTTGTGTGTTTACAATCTGCATTTTGGACGTACGTTATACTGTACTACGTATGTTGTACTGTACTATGTATGTTGTACTGTACTATGTATGTTGTACTGTACTATGTATGTTGTACTGTACTATGTGTGGTTGGTGAGCGGTGGTGTAGTGGTTAGCGCCACCACCAACACCGCACCTGGGCCTCCTCCCCTAGGTCGACTCAGCCTCAAATGAGTACTTGGTGTAGCGGTGTGGAGTAGTAGTAGTAGACATCGCTAGCACTGGGGGAGACAAAGGCGGCCGGGCGTGGTGTACCACAGTGCCGGCATTCATAGACGCTGCTGCTACCCGCTTGCTAACAGCACTTGCCCCTACACTCTCTTAGAGGCTACCTGGGGGAACCTTTGTCTCTGTGTGTAGGATGAGGTGCCACTCGCTACTAACAGCACTTGCCCCTACAACCTGTTAGAGGCTACCTGGGGGAACCTTTGTCTCTGTGTGTAGGGTGAGGTGCCACTCGCTACTAACAGCACTTGCCCCTACAACCTGTTAGAGGCTACCTGGGGGAACCTTTGTCTCTGTGTGTAGGGCGAGGTGCCACTCGCTACTAACAGCACTTGCCCCTACAACCTGTTAGAGGCTACCTGGGGGAACCTTTGTCTTTGTGTACTCTGTACTGTATTTTGAATGAATGTAACACTACGTTGAGCTTCTTTCTCGCCGTACGTAGTAAAAGATCGCGTTCGTTACAACGCCAACACCACGGGTGGCACGGGAATACAATATGGTGTCGTGGTGGTGGTTGTGTTGGTGGTGGTTGTGGTGGTGGTTGTGCTGGTGGTTGTGCTGGTGGTTGTGGTGGTGGTGGTTGTGGTGGTGGTTGTGTTGGTGGTGGTGGTTGTGTAGGTGGGTGTGGTGGTGGTTGTGTAGGTGGGTGTGGTGGTGGTTGTGTAGGTGGGTGTGGTGGTGGTTGTGTTGGTGGTGGTTGTGTTGGTGGTGGTTGTGTTGGTGGTTGTGTTGGTGGTTGTTGTGTTGGTGGTTGTTGTTGTGGTGGTGGTTGTTGTTGTGGTGGTGGTTGTGCTGGTGGTTGTGCTGGTGGTTGTGGTGGTGGTAGTTGTGTCGTCAAAGCCTCATGCCACCACCGTCACACAAGCCGGTGTTCGTGTCTTTAAATCGGAAGTCGTCGTTGTCGTCTCACGTGATGATGGGGGGGGGGAGAATTTAAACCGGATGTGAAATAAAACAAGTCACGTGACGCGCGCGTGCTCCCCCCTCCCTCGCTCCAAACTCACTCGCTGCTGATGATGAGGAACTGATTGTTGAAACCGGCCCTTGCCTATAGACATCTGGGGAAATTCGTCATCATTCATTCAAGCAGAGCCAGGCTCTGCTGCTGATACACTGAATGTTGAAACCGGCCCTTGCCTATAGACATCTGGGGAAATTCGTCATCATTGATTCAAGCAGAGCCAGGCTCTGCTGCTGATACACTGAATGTTGAAACCGGCCCTTGCCTATAGACATCTGGGGAAATTCGCCAGCATTGATTCAAGCAGAGCCAGGCTCTGCTGCTGATACACTGAATGTTGAAACCGGCCCTTGCCTATAGACATCTGGGGAAATTCGTCATCATTCATTCAAGCAGAGCCAGGCTCTGCTGCTGATACACTGAATGTCGAAACCGGCCCTTGCCCATAGACATCTGGGGAAATTCGTCATCATTGATTCAAGCAGAGCCAGGCTCTGCTGCTGATACACTGAATGTTGAAACCGGCCCTTGCCTATAGACATCTGGGGAAATTCGTCATCATTGATTCAAGCAGAGCCAGGCTCTGCTGCTGATACACTGAATGTTGAAACCGGCCCTTGCCTATAGACATCTGGGGAAATTCGTCATCATTGATTCAAGCAGAGCCAGGCTCTGCTGCTGATACACTGAATGTTGAAACCGGCCCTTGCCTATAGACATCTGGGGAAATTCGTCATCATTCATTCAAGCAGAGCCAGGCTCTGCTGCTGATACACTGAATGTTGAAACCGGCCCTTGCCTATAGACATCTGGGGAAATTCGTCATCATTGATTCAAGCAGAGCCAGGCTCTGCTGCTGATACACTGAATGTTGAAACCGGCCCTTGCCTATAGACATCTGGGGAAATTCGTCATCATTCATTCAAGCAGAGCCAGGCTCTGCTGCTGATACACTGAATGTTGAAACCGGCCCTTGCCTATAGACATCTGGGGAAATTCGTCATCATTCATTCAAGCAGAGCCAGGCTCTGCTGCTGATACACTGAATGTTGAAACCGGCCCTTGCCTATAGACATCTGGGGAAATTCGTCATCATTGATTCAAGCAGAGCCAGGCTCTGCTGCTGATACACTGAATGTTGAAACCGGCCCTTGCCTATAGACATCTGGGGAAATTCGTCATCATTGATTCAAGCAGAGCCAGGCTCTGCTGCTGATACACTGAATGTTGAAACCGGCCCTTGCCTATAGACATCTGGGGAAATTCGTCATCATTGATTCAAGCAGAGCCAGGCTCTGCTGCTGATACACTGAATGTCGAAACCGGCCCTTGCCTATAGACATCTGGGGCAGTTCGTCATCATTGATTCAAGCAGAGCCAGGCTCTGCTGCTGCTGAGGCACTGAATGTCTGAAACGGGTCCAGGGTTTTTTAAAATCCTTTATATTAAGTTCACTTGCTTGCTTGCGCGCTTACGACCGTGAAAATCTTTCGGTCGTTTTTAACCCACTTCCCGTGATCCAATCGAGCTGACATTTTGCACGCAGACTCGTTGTGCGTGACAATTTATGTTCGTGAATTTTTTTTTTCCAAATTTTTCCTCTTTTTAGGGATTTTTTTTCATATTTAATTTAAAATACCAATGTGATAAAAATGAAACTCTTACTCAAGAAAAACAGAAATGAATAATAAAATAAAACCGATGCCACGCATATAAACGATTTATAGTGAAAAACTTTGTTTTCACGGGTTAATTTTGTGTGTGTGTGTGCATTTGCTGAACAAACGCTGCCGAAATGACACAACTTCCAGAAAGCGAGGCGATATAATCACGGTCATTGACGTCTCAAGGAGATATCACGAAAATGTAATAATATTAAATTTCGATTTAAAGCTTTCGTGACTGCAGGGATTCATCTTCTTGGTTCTTTCGGTAAAGTCACGTAGAAGGGAAATAATAAAATAATAAAAATTCTCACAACGTTTCGGCCACAACGCAAGCAGCCGTAATCAGGTGAAGAACAGGGCTGTCGGGAAGACAGCGTCTGAATGAAACACCCCAGGCTTGGAGCGTATATTTAAGCTGGGTTGTAATAATATTGTCATGAGTACAACACGGAGTGCGGGGAGCGGTGGCGCTGCGGTTAGCGTGCTTGCACTGCGCTACGAACCAAGCAGTCACCCGAGTTCGACTCCCGCCCACGGCCATCAACACCGGTCAGGATTATCTGAACCGGTCCTGGGCCTCCCCTAGGTCGATTCGGCCTCGAATGAGTATCCGGTGCGATGTGTAGGAAACATCGCCACTGGGGAGACAAAGGCGGCCGGGCGTAGTTCTGGCCACCCCACCCCCTCGTGTGCCACAGTGCCGGCCTTCGTAGGTGCTGCTGTTAGCTAGCAACACTTGCCCCAACAGTCTGTGAAGCCTATACGAGGGATGCTTGTCTTTGGGTGTCGTGAGTGAGTGAGTTAGTGGATGGGCGAGTCAGTGGGTGGATGAGTGGCTGAGTGCGTGAGTCAGTGAGTGAGTGAGTTAGTGGATGGGTGAGTCAGTGGGTGGGTGAGTGGCTGAGTGCGTGAGTCAGTGAGTGAGTTCGTGGATGGGTGAGTCAGTGGGTGGGTGAGTGGCTGAGTGCGTGAGTCAGTGAGTGGTTGAGTTCGTGGATGGGTGAGTCAGTGGGTGGGTAGCTGAGTGCGTGAGTCAGTGAGTAGTTGAGTTCGTGGATGGGTGAGTCAGTGGGTGGGTGAGTAGCTGAGTGCGTGAGTCAGTGAGTGGTTGAGTTCGTGGATGGGTGAGTCAGTGGGTGGGTGAGTAGCTGAGTGCGTGAGTCAGTGAGTGTGAGTTAGTGGATGGGTGAGTCAGTGGGTGGGTGAGTGGCTGAGTGCGTGAGTCAGTGAGTGAGTGAGTTAGTGGATGGGTGAGTTAGTGGGTGGGTGAGTGGCTGAGTGCGTGAGTCAGTGAGTGAGTTAGTGGATGGGTGTCAGTGGGTGGGTGAGTGGCTGAGTGCCTGAGTCAGTGAGTGAGTGAGTTAGTGGATGGGTGAGTCAGTGGGTGGGTGAGTGCCTGAGTCAGTGAGTGAGTGAGTTAGTGGATGGGTGAGTCAGTGGGTGGGTGAGTGGCTGAGTGCCTGAGTCAGTGAGTGAGTGAGTTAGTGGATGGGTGAGTCAGTGGGTGGGTGAGTGGCTGAGTGCCTGAGTCAGTGAGTGAGTGAATTAGTGGATGTGTGAGTCAGTGGGTGGGTGAGTGGCTGAGTGCCTGAGTCAGTGAGTGAGTGAATTAGTGGATGGGTGAGTCAGTGGGTGGGTGAGTGGCTGAGTGCCTGAGTCAGTGAGTGAGTGAGTTAGTGGATGGGTGAGTCAGTGGGTGGGTGAGTGGCTGAGTGCGTGAGTCAGTGAGTGAGTGAGTGAGTTAGTGGATGGGTGAGTCAGTGGGTGGGTGAGTGGCTGAGTGCCTGAGTCAGTGAGTGTGTGCTTAAGTGGGTGTGTGAGTCAGTGGGTGAGTGTGTGACTCAGTGGGTGTGTGAGTGGCTGAGTAGCTGAGTGTGTGTCGGTGAGTGTGTGAGTCCGTGATTTAGTGGGTGGGTGAGTGAATGAGTGAGTGTGTGAGTCAGTGGGTGTGTGGGTCAGTGGGTGATTGAGTGTGTGAGTGCATGATTCAGTGGGTGGGTGAGTGGCTGAGTGAGTTTGTGAGTGGGTGGGTGAGTGAGTGAGTGGGTGAGTGAGTCAGTGGGTGGGTGGGTGAGTCAGTGCATGTGTGAGTGTGTGAGTGAGTTTGTGAGTCAGTGGGTGGGTAAGTGGGTGAGTCAATGGGTGTGTGAGTGGGTGAGTGAGTTCTACAGGGGGTATCTTTGTCTTTGTTGTTGGCAGATAAAGCACATGATGGCTTTCATCGAGCAAGAGGCCAACGAGAAAGCGGAGGAGATCGACGCTAAGGTGAGCCCTCCCTGCGCTGAAACTCCCTCCGTCCTTCCACCCTCCTCATCCTTCCTCCCTCATCCTACCTCCTACCCTCGCTCTTTTCTTGCTCCTCCCGCCCGTTTGTTGCAAGCCTACCCGGGGGACCTTTGTCTTTGTGTCTGTCCGTCTCTGTCCGTCTCTGTCTGTCTAGGCGGAGGAGGAGTTCAACATTGAGAAGGGCCGCCTGGTGCAGACGCAGCGCCTCAAGATCATGGAGCACTACGAGAAGAAGGAGAAGCAGATCGACCAGCAGAAGAAGATGTGAGTGGTGGTGGTGGTGGTGCTGGTGGTGCTGATGGTGGTGGTGGTGTGGGTGGGGCTGGTGCTGGTGGTGCTGGTGGTGCTGGTGGTGCTGGTGGTGCTGGTGGTGGTGGTGGTGCTGGTGGTGCTGGTGGTGGTGGAGGTAGTGGTGGAGGTGGTGGTAGAGGTGGTGGTGGAGGTGGTGGAGGTAGTTTCCATTCTCACAAAGCCAACAGCTCTCCCCCGGGCAGACCGTAGGGAGAAAGTGGTGTAAACTGTGGGTCTCTGTGGGTGTCTGTGGATCTCTGAGTATCAGTATCTGCGGCTCTCCTTGTGGGTCTCTTTGAGTATGGGTGTCTGTGGGTCTCTATGAGTAAGGGTCTCTGAGTATGGGTCTATGGGTCTCTGTGGGTATCTGAGTATGGGTCTCTGTGGTTCTCTATAACTGGGTCTCTATGAGTATGAGTCTCTGTGGGTCTCTGTCGGTCTCTGAGTATGGGTCTCTGTGGGTGTCTGTGAGTCTATGAGTATGGGTCTGGGTCTCTGTGGGTCTCTGTCGGTCTCTGAGTATGGGTCTCTATGAGTATGGGTCTCTCTGGGTGTCCGAGTCTATGAGTATGGGTCTGGGTCGCTGTGGGTATCTATGAGTGTAAGTCTCTATGAGTAAAAGTCTCTAAGTCTCGATTGGCCTCTATGAGTATGGGTCTATAGGTCTCTATGAGTATGGGTCTCTGTGGGTCTCTGAGTATGTGGCAAACCATGTAAACAAACATGGCTCTGATACTAATAATGATGTGACATGCATTGTCTTTGAAACTGATTGGCCTCCACCAGAGTGACGGTCGCCGTGTTATTCATGGCCCAGTCTCACCGCCGGCGTTAGACCAGCGAACATCACCAACAGGCGACCAGTGCAAGGACAATGCAGTATCAAGAGCATTTATAGCTTGGGGTGAGCAGCCAAATCATGGGACCTTTTTGGCAGTATCAGAGTATGAAAGATAAGAAGCGGTTTTACCCTCTCTGGCAATAAAACAGGAGGTTTACACCATTGGAACCTCATTTGCCAGTAAAAATATAAAAAGGTGTCAGTTTTGTTGCCAGATAGAAGGGTAAAAAAACAATTATATTTTTACTGGCAAATGAGGTTCCAATGGTGTAAATGCTTACCCCGAGCTCTCATACTCTGATGGTGCATTGTCTTTGAGTTGCGCGCCTTTTGGCGTCATCTGGTCCAACCCACGTGAGACTAGGCTCTAAGGAAAGCTGTCTCGGGTGTGGACCATTCAACTTCAAGGACAGTGCACATTATCAGAGTTGTGTTTTTTGTTTGCATTATGACTGCAGGTATTGTGGTCTATGTAAACATGACTCCTTGTAATAAAGGTGTCAGTTTTATTGCCAGATAGAAGGGTAAAAAACCAATTATCAAAACAGGAGATGTTAAGATGTTTAAACACCAGATATATTCAAGCTTTTGGAAGGAATCAAGTTACTGTATTACCCACACGCGAGCTACTGGTGGCGAACACGCAAACTAACGTGGCTCTGATCAGTTCCATGCATTGTCCTTGAAACTGATTGGTCCACACCAAGAGACGGCTTTCTTTTGAGCCTCGTCTCAATTGGTGCTCGACCAGAGGATGCCAAAAGGCGTCCACAGCTCAAAGACAATGCTGCACTATCAAAGTGTAATACAGCTCATTGAGGCGACTTCTGGAATACGTCTTTTATTCAACTTATATTACAGCTTGTCCTTCACGCTGCTGACAGGGAGCGTGAGAGCGACAGATAGAGAGAGAGAGACGCACTGCCACGTGGCAACCCGGAGCCCCGCTCCAGCGTGGCCCCCTTCCTCCGTTCGTTCCCATTCTGACCACGTGTCGTTCGTCTCCACCCATATTTAATACCCGGGTCACGTGGTACGTTTCCACCAATCCTGGTTAGCCTCCATGGAATATTCCAGGCTCCCTCGTAGGCTCCCGGGGCCACGCCCCTGACTCCTCTCCCCATTGGCTGTGGCCAAAGCCAGCAGAACCAATCCTCTACAAACAGCTGTCACCTTTCCATCACGTCAGGGCCACGCACCTAGGCTTCCCCCCATTGGCTGTAAACCAGGACCGGCAGAGCCAATCATCATGACGAGTTGTGATACGTCAGTGAGCCGGATATATCCTCACAATACAAAAGTAATAAGGGTTCGGGGTGAGCATCTACATCATTAGACCTCCTTTGCCAGTACCAACATATAATAATAGGATTGTGTGTTTGTATATTACGGTGATTCGCTTTACCGTTCCTCCACTGTGCAGCCCTGTCGTGGTTGTGTGCAGCGTCGCTTGTGGTTCTGACCCCGTGCCCTCTTCTGGATATTCATCGGATTCCTCGAGTATAAATATTCTGATTCTGATTCTCTCGCCCCTCTCTCTCTCCCTCTCACTCACCCTCTTTCTCCTTCTCTCCCCCTCCCTCTTTTTTTATCCCTCCCTCTCCTCCGCATCCCTCCCGCTATCCCCATCTTTCTCTCCCTCCCCCTCTCTGGCTCTCCTGCTCTCTCCCCCCTCTCTCTCTCCTCCACTCTCTCTCCCCCTCTCTTTCCCCCCCTCTCCCCTCCCTTTCCCCCCTCTCCCCCCTCACTCTCCCTCTCCCCCCTCTCCATCTCTCCTCCCTCTCCCCCCCCTCTCTCATTCCCCCCCCCTCTCCCTCTCCCCCCATCTCTTCTCCTCTCTCTCCTCTCTACCCCCTCTCCCTCCCTCCCACCCTCCACTCCCTCCCTCTATCTCCCCCCCCACCCCCAAATCCCCCGTCCACAGACAGATGTCCAACCTGATGAACCAGGCCCGGCTCAAGGTGCTCCGAGCTCGCGAGGACCTCGTGCAGGTGACCTGTGGTGGTGGTCGTGGTGACGACGGTGGTGACGGTGGTGGTGGTCGTGGTGACGGTGGTGGTGGTCATGGTGACGGTGGTGGTGACGGTGGTGGTGACAACGGTGGTGGTGACGGTGGTGGTGACGGTGGTGGTGGTGACGGTGGTGACGGTGGTGACGGTGGTGACGGTGGTGACGGTGGTGGTGGTGACGGGGGTGGTGACGGGGGTGGTGACGGTGGTGGTGGTGACGGTGGTGGTGACGGGGGTGGTGATGGTGGTGGTGGTGACGGTGGTGGTGGTGACGGTGGTGGTGACGGTGGTGGTGGTGACGGTGGTGGTGGTGACGGTGGTGGTGACGGTGGTGGTGACGGTGGTGGTGACGGTGGTGGTGACGGTGGTGACGGTGGTGACGGTGGTGACGGTGGCGGTGGTGACGGTGGCGGTGGTGACGGTGGCGGTGGTGACGGTGGCGGTGGTGACGGTGGCGGTGGTGACGGTGGTGGTGGTGACGGTGGTGGTGGTGACGGTGGTGGTGGTGACGGTGGTGACGGTGGTGGTAACGGTGGTAATTATAACGGTTTAACATGCAGGCTTTCGCAGCCAATATCATCCGTAACATATCGTTTTTTTTGGGTTAGATCGCGTAAATCTATAAATGTGTCGCTAAACCGGCCACCACCCGACACAGCCAATCGGCGAGGTTTGTCACGTGAACAGAACGTGGCCAATTCGTCGCTGGTCCAGCCCCGGGTGTGTTGGAGAGTCGATCCGCAACATTTACACTGCACGAGGTATGAGGTCGTAAATGATGATGTGGCTTTGCTCTCTCTGAGCCAGTAACGAGTTGGCGCGCTCCGTCGACGCGACACGGGGAGAGACCCTCTTGCTGATTGTGCCGTGCAGTGTCGGCGGGCTTCCCGACGCGACCTCGATATTCACGTGGACCGAACTCCCCACAAATACCACAAATAAACCACGATTCTGGGTCAACACACAGGGGGACGGCTGTCGCTGGGGCCGCACCAAGATCAGTTTGGGATTGTCGCGTCTTGACCACGTGACCCACCCTCCGCCCCCCTTCGCCCCCGGCCCCCCGGCCGTGTGTGCAGGAGCTGCTGAGTGAGGGGCGGCGTCGGCAGGCGGAGGTCACCAAGAACCAAGCGCGCTACCAGGCACTGCTGGACGGTCTCCTGCTGCAGGTGACGCACGCACGGAGAGACACGCGCAGAGACACGCACAGAGACACGCACAGAGACACGCACGGAGACACGCACGGAGACACGCAGAGAGACACACAGAGACACGCACGGAGAGAGAGACACGCACAGAGACACAGAGACACGCACAGAGACATGCACAGAGACACGCAGAGACACGCACAGAGACACACAGAGACACGCAAGGAAAGACACACAGAGAGACACAGAGACACGCACACAGAGACACGCACACAGAGACACGCACAGAGAGACACGCACAGAGACACGCACGGAGAGACATGCACAGACACGCACGGAGAGACATGCACAGACACGCACGGAGAGACAGACGCGCTGAGAGACAGACGCGCTGAGAGACAGACGCGCTGAGAGACACGCACGCACGGAGAGACACTCACTCGTACAGAGACACACACAGGGACATACGCAGAGAGACATGGTGATGGTGGTGATGGTGGTGATGATGTTGGTGGTAATGATGATGGTAATGGTGATGGTGGTCGTGATGATGGTGGTGATGGTGGTGATGGTGATGTTGTTGATGTTGTTGCAGGGTCTGTACCAGCTGCTGGAGCCCGTGGTGATTATCCGGTGCCGTAAGGTGGACGTGGCCATGGTTAAGGTGACACCACCACCCAGCAACGTCACCACCATCATCACCACCATCACCACCGTCCCCATCATCACCACCGTCACCACCACCGTCACTACCACCACCGTCACCACCACCACCGTCACTACCACCACCACCACCGTCACAACCATCACCGCCATCATCACCGCCATCACCACCACCGTCATCATCACCACCACCACCGCCGTCACCATCACCATCGTCATCACCGTCGCCGCCACCGTCACCACCATCGCCATCACCACCATTACCACCACCGTCATCATCACCACCATCACCGTCATCATTACCATCACTAACCATCATCAACGTCATCACCACCATCACCACCACCGCTACCACCATCACAACCATCACAACCATCATCAACATCATCACCATCACCGTCATCATTACCACCATCATCAACGTCATCACCACCATCACCACCACCATCACCACCGTCATCACCACCATCATCAACATGACCACCATCACCACCACCATCACCACCGTCCCCATCATCACCACCGTCACCACCACCGTCACTACCACCACCGTCACCACCACCACCGTCACTACCACCACCACCACCGTCACAACCATCACCGCCATCATCACCGCCATCACCACCACCGTCATCATCACCACCACCACCGCCGTCACCATCACCATCGTCATCACCGTCGCCGCCACCGTGACCACCATCGCCATCACCACCATTACCACCACCGTCATCATCACCACCATCACCGTCATCATTACCATCACTAACCATCATCAACGTCATCACCACCATCACCACCACCGCTACCACCATCACAACCATCACAACCATCATCAACATCATCACCATCACCGTCATCATTACCACCATCATCAACGTCATCACCACCATCACCACCACCATCACCACCGTCATCACCACCATCATCAACATGACCACCATCACCACCACCATCACCACCGTCATCATCATCACCACCATTACTACCATCAACATCACCACCATCACTATCGACGGTGGTCACGGTAGTGACAGTGATGACGGTGGTGATGGTGGTGGTGATGGTGGTGATGACGGTGGTGATGTTGGTGATGGTGATGATGATGGTGGTGAGGATGATGGTGGTGACGGTGGTAGTGGTGGTGCCATGGTGGTGGTGATGGTGGTGATGGTGGTGATGATGGTGGTGACGTTGGTGATGTTGGTGATGATGACGATGGTGGTGGTGATGGTGGTGATGGTGGTGATGGTGGTGATGATGATGGTGATGATGGTGGTGATGACGGTGGTGATGTTGGTGATGTTGGTGATGATGACGATGGTGGTGATGATGGTGATGGTGGTGATGGTGGTGGTGATGGTGGTGATGGTAATGATGATGGTGGTGATGTTGGTGATGATGGTGATGTTGTTGATGATGACGATGGTGGTGATGGTGGTGATGTTGGTGATGTTGTTGATGATGACGATGGTGGTGATGTTGGTGATGTTGTTGATGATGACGATGGTGGTGATGGTAATGATGATGGTGGTGATGTTGGTGATGCAGGCTGCGGTGCAGACGGTGCTGCCCACGTACCGCGACGTCACCAAGAAAGATCTGGACGCTCGCGTGGACGAGACGGTCTTCCTGCCTCTTGAAGTGTACGCACGCACACGCACGTGTGGTTGTGTGCACGTGTGTACGTGTGTGAGTGTGTGTACGCGTCAGTACGCGTCTGTGTGTCTGTACATGTGTGTACGCGCGTGTGTACGCGTGTCTGTGTATACGCATGTGTACGTGTGTGTGTGTGTACGCGTGTCTGTATACGCATGTGTACGTGTGTGTGTGTGTGTACGCGTGTCTGTGTATACGCATGTGTACGTGTGTGTGTGTGTACGCGTGTCTGTATACGCATGTGTACGTGTGTGTGTGTGTGTACGCGTGTCTGTGTATACGCATGTGTACGTGTGTGTACGCGTGTCTGTGTATACGCATGTGTACGTGTGTGTGTGTGTACGCGTGTCTGTGTATACGCATGTGTACGTGTGTGTGTGTACGCGTGTTTGTGTATACGCATGTGTACGTGTGTGTGTGTGTACGCGTGTCTGTGTATACGCATGTGTACGTGTGTGTGTGTACACGTGTGTGTGTGTGTACGCGTGCATGGGGAGCGGTAGCGTAGTGGTTAGCGCTACGCTGCGCTACGAACCCGGCGACCCGAGTTCGATTCCCGCTAAACGACCAACACCAGTAGTGACGATTATCTGAACCGGTCCTGGGCCTCCCCTAGGTTAACTCAGCCTCAAATGAGTACCTGGTGTAGTGTGTAGTGAACATCGCCACTGGGGAGACAAAGGCGGCCGGGCGTGGTGCTGGCCACCCACCCCCTCGTGTGCCACAGTGCCGGTAGCCTTCATAGGTGCCACTCGCTAAAAGCACTTGCCCCAACGGTCTATTAACGGCTATACGGGGGTTCTTTGCTTTGTGCGTGTCTGTGTGTGTGCGTGTCTGTGTGTGTGTGTGCGTGTCTGAATGTGTGTGCGTGTCTGTATGTGTGTGCGTGTCTGTGTGCGTGCGTGTGTGTGTCTGTGTGTGCGTGCTTGTGTGTGTGTGTGCGTGCGTGCGTGTGTCTGTGTGCGTGCCTGTGTGTGTGCATGCGTGTGTGTGCGTGCGTGCCTGTGTGTGTGCGTGTGTGCGTGCGTGTGTCTGTGTGTGTGCCTGTGTGTGTGCGCGTGCGTGTGTGTGTGTGTCTGTGTGTCTGTGTGTGTGCGTGTGTGTGTGCGTGTGTGTGTGCGTGTGTGTACGTGTGTGTGTGTGTCTGTGTGTGTGCGTGTCTGTGTGTGTAGGTCTGGGGGAGTGGAGGTGTACAGTCAGGATGGGAAGATTAAGTGCTCCAACACCCTGGAGAGTCGGCTGGAACTCATGGCTCAGCAGGTCAGCGCTCGGCTACCCACGCACCTGCCCACTCACCTACCCACTCACCTAACCACTCACCTGCCCACTCACCTAGCCACTCACCTACCCACTCACTCACCTAGCTGCTCACCTAGCCACTCACCTACCCACTCACTCACCTACTCACCTGCCTACTCACCTACTCAACTAGCTACTCACCTACCCACTCACCTAGCCACTCACCTACCCACTCACCTACCCACTCACTCACCTAGCTGCTCACCTAGCCACTCACCTACCCACTCACTCACCTACTCACCTGCCTACTCACCTACTCAACTAGCTACTCACCTACCCACTCACCTATCCACTCGCCTACCAGCTCACCTGCCCACTCACCTGCCCACTCACCTGCCCACTCACCTGCCCACTCACCTGCCCACTCACTCACCTAGCCACTCACCTACTCACCTGCCCACTCACCTGCCCACACACGCACTCGCCTACCAGCTCACCTACCTACTCACAAAATCAAGTGCTGTAACATCCTAGTCGACTGGAACTCAGGGCTCAGCAGGTCCCCACTCAGCTACCCACACACCCACTCACCTCACCTTCTCACCACCCACTCACCTACCTTCTCACCTACCCACACACGCACTTGCCTACCCACTCACTCACCTAGCTACTCACCTACCCACACACGCACTCACCCACTCACCTGCCCACACACACACTCACCTACCCACTCGCCTACCGAGCTCGCCCACTCACCCACCGATGCACTTACGCTCACCCATCCACTCACCCAATCACTCTCATCCACCACACACTCACCCACCCACTCATGCGTTAGCTCGCCCACTCACCCACCAATGCACTCACTCCCACTCATGCTCACCCATTCACTCGCTCGTTCACCTGTCCACTCACCCAATCACTCTCATCCACCACACACTCACTCATGCCCAATCGCTCACTCACCCACTCACCCATCCACCCACTTACCACCCGCATTAGGTCAATCACTCACTCGCCCACTCACCTACCAATGCACTCACTCCCACTCACGCTCACCCATTCCTGATGCTACTGATGATGATGATCCTACAGGTGATGAGGATGACACTGCTGGTGATGCCGATGATGATGACGACGATGACTACTGATGATGCGACTGATGACGATGATGATGATGATACTCATGATGATGATGACTGCTGATGATGATACTGCTGATGATGATGACACTGATGACACTGATGATGATGACTGCTGCTGATGATGATGACACTGCTGATGATGATGATGACACTGATTATGACACTGATGACGACACTGATGATGATGATGACACTGCTGCTGATGATAATGACTCTGATGATGATGATGACTGCTGCTGATGATGATGATGATTCTTGCGTAACAGATGTTGCCAGAGATCCGGGTCTCCCTCTTTGGATCAAACCCCAACCGCAAGTTCCTGGACTGAGCAGCGCCTTCCCCTCCTGGAGGGAGCCCCAAATCTCCCCACGCCCCAATTCTCCCCACGCCCCAAATCTCCCCACGCCCCAAATCTCCCCACGCCCCAAATCTCCCCACTCTCCAAATCTCCCCACCCCTCAAATCTCCCCACCCCCCAAATCTCCCCACCCCCCAAATCTCCCCGCTCTCCAAATCTCCCCACTCTCCAAATCTCCCCACTCTCCCTCCCCCATTCCCCTACCCTACCTCCCTCCCTCTCCCCCTCTCTCTCTACCCCCTCTCCATCCTCCCTCCCTCCCCCCCACCACCAACACCCAGAGGAGTCGACTCATTGAGGGTCACGTGATTGTGAACCAGAGACTTGAGACAGAGAGAGGATGAGGGTTGCCCCTGTGTGTGTGTGTACGTGTGTGTACGTGAGTGTGTGTACGTGTGCGTGTGTACGTGAGTGTGCATGTGTGCATGTACAAGTGTGTGTGTGTACGTGTGCATGTACGTGTATGTACGTGTGCGTGTGTACGTGAGTGTGTGTGCATGTGTGCGTGTACGTGTGTGTACGTGTGTGTGTGCGTGCGTACGTGTGTGTGCGTTTGAACCACCACCGTAACGTAGCCAACAGCGCTAATTGCAGGTGCGGACGGGTGACAGGACGACAAACTAAACACACAACAACAACAAAATGAGTTTTCAATCTACAAGCTTTTATATTGATGGTGTAATGGTGGTGGTGGTCGTGATGATGCTGTTCAATGGAGCAAAGTGCGTCTCTCCATGTCTCTGTCTCCCCATCTCTCTCCGTCTCTCTGCGTCGATCTGCGTCTCACCGTCTCTGTCTCTCTGCGTCTCACAGTGTCCCCTGCGTGTCCGTCAATGGTAGTAGAAGTGGTATCCTTGGAGTCGTTCCGTGCATTTCACAATCGTGGAGGACTAGCAGTGTGTACTTGTGTGTGTGTTGAACTTCTTCTGCAAAGTACGTAGCCAACCGTGCTAATTGGAGGTTCCGGGAGCAGAAGGACAACAAACTAAACGCAACAAGCCGGTTCTGAAACTAATTCATTTTCAATCTACATTTAAAAGTGCAATCCAGCCTGGTTAAACCCAGGATGGAGCAGAAGTCCACTCAGCTCCACATCCTCCTGTACCACATCACTCCATCTCTTCTCTAGCCCGTGCTGCGCCCGTTTAGCACCCTCTATCCAGCTGAACAAAAGCTGTTTAGGCATGCGGTGGCTGGGCATGCGGGCGACATGGCCCAGCCAACACAGCCTTGCCTGCCGGAGGAGCTCACCGATGGGACTTTGTCCAAATCTTTCAAGGATTTGTGAGCTCCTCACACAATCCAGCCTGCAGGTTAAACCCAAGATGGATCATCAACGGCAGGGCCAACCTCAATGTTTCTCACCGGCGCAGATGTTCTATAAGAGGGGTCCACGTTTCGCAAGCGTAGAGAAGTGAGGGCGGGCATGACTGTGGCTGAGAAAGACCCGGAGCTTCGTGTATGGAGCGACAGCCAGGTAGCTTCCACGCAGCAGCAGCATTAGGCAGCCGACAAAGGTCACAACCGGGTACCCGATACCTGTACCATACCCAATACCCGGCTACCCGTACCCGGCCAGGTACGGGTACCCGTTTGCGACCCTGGTGCGGCCGGGTACGGGTAAGGAATCAAAACCCGTTTGCGACCTCTGGCAGCCGATGAAAAGTTATTGCTGCCCGACTGATTCGGGGCGATATCCAGAGGTAGGGTCACCGCCATTGCGCAGCGCGTTGAGATATGCTTCTGCGGCTGTCTGGAACGCTCTTCCGATATTAGGAAGCAACTGGGAGCTGTGATGCACTTTTACATCATCGAGATTGAAAATTCATTGCGTTAGCTTATTGCGCTTCCCCCATGCACCTCCGATTAGCACGGTTGGCTACGTACGGTGGCGCGAAAGAAGTTCAACGTACAGGGACACTCCCACTTACGGAAAGAGTTCGGTTCCAGAGGTGTGTTCGTAAGTCCATTTGTTCGCAAGTCCAACTTTACTCAAGTTGACTCCAAACATGTTGTTCGGCGTGTACGCTAAACACGGGGAATGGATTTGAAAGTTCATAATTTTCTGCAGATGTGAATGCCACTGGGTCTTCACGTTCTGCAGATATAGATGCCACTGGTTCATGTTCTGCAGGTGGAGATGCCACTGGTTCTCATGTTCTGCAGATGTGAATGCCACTGGTTCTTCACGTTCTGCAGATGTAGATGCCACTGGTTCTTCGTGTGCTGCAGATGTAGATGCCACTGGTTCTTCATGTTCTGCAGATGGAGATGCCACTGGTTCTTCACGTTCTGCAGATGTGGATACCACTGGTTCTTCACGTTCTGCAGATGTAGATGCCACTGGTTTTTCACGTTCTGCAGATGTAGATGCCACTGGTTGTTCACGTTCTGCAGATGTAGATGCCACTGGTTCTTCACGTTCTGCAGATGTAGATGCCACTGGTTCTTTACGTTCTGCAGATGTAGATGCCACTGGTTCTTCACGTTCTGCAGATGTAGATGCCACTGCTTCTTCATGTTCTGTAGATGTAGATGCCACTGGTTCTTCATGTTCTGTAGATGTAAATGCCACTGGTTCTTCACGTTCTGTAGATGTAGATGCCACTGGTTCTTCACGTTCTGCAGATGTCGATGCCACTGGTTCTGCACGTTCTGTAGATGTAGATGCTGCTGGTTCTTTGTGATCTGCAGATGTAGATGCCACTGGTTCTTCACGTTCTTTAGATGTAGATGCCGCTGGTTCTTCATGTTCTGTAGATGTAGATGCCACTGGTTCTTCACGTTATGTAGATGTAGATGCCACTGGTTCTTCATGTTCTGTAGATGTAGATGCCACTGGTTCTTTGTGATCTGCAGATGTGAATGTCGCAGATTCTGCACGTTCTGCAGATGTAGATGCCACTGGTTCTTCGTGATCTGCAGATGTAGATGCCACTGGTTCTTCGTGATCTGCAGATGTGAATGCCACTGGTTCTTCACGTTCTGCAGATCGAGATGTCACCACTGCCACCGCCATCTATTGCGCGGGGCGGTTGAACTTGCTACTCTGGGACCGAACAGGCAACTGGATTTACGGACAGATTTGTCCGTATCTCTGAAAGTTCTCAAGTCGAATGTTTGTAAGTAGACGAGTCCTGATCTCCGGTCACGCGGCATTAGTAGTGGTTGCTTTCCTGAAGAACACCACGTAATGGAAAAATCGCGTGATAATAATTAATATATACAAGATTGGGGGTGGGGGGTTAAAGCAAGATCCGCGATTGCACGCGCGAGAGATGCCTAACGCAGAGGCCGGACAAACACTGAGGCGCGTGGTGGGTAGCATCTCGAAGCAGCATCCAGCAGCCCCAGCAGCAGCAGTATCCCAATGCTCTTTTTGTTTGACGACGATGATCCTACGCCGAGGGGTGGAACCGTTCCGTACACACTGCTTCGTTTTCCTCGCCTCGGCGCTAAGCAGAGGTCGCAACCGGGTACCCGATACCCGTACCCGCCTGGGTACGGGTACCCGTTTGCGACCCTAGTGCGGCCGGGTACGGGTAAGGAATCAAAACCCGTTTGCGACCTCTGGCGCTAGGCTCCTTTCGACTCGATCGCGTTGTGCCACCGATTTGTCGCCCGTGAAAGCGACGCGTTCCGGGAGAGCGCGGACTGCCCGTGCGGGGAGTCGTGGCGAGGGAATTGGCGTTGAGAGTTGAGGGGGGTCGGGTGGTAGTACTGGTAGGAACCTCCTGGTTACACCAGCACACATGGGATTAATGTGTCTGTCCGTCGTGCATCCAAAAATGGGAGGGGTGGGGCTGGGTGAAGAGGGGAGGGTGGGAGAGGTGGGGCTGGGTGGGGAGGGGCTGGTCACCCCGTGGTGCCCTTATAAAACTCAACGTTTAACCTACTCACGCCGGCTTGTGCCCGCCCTCAGTCGGGCATATTTGCGGAATACACCACGCCGCCGTTGACCCTGGCCATTGACTGAGCAACCTAACGTTCCTACCAGCTCCCTCCGCAGCAGGAATGTGTTGTTAAGGAGGGTTCCGTGATAACCTATGCTGGGCTCACTGTAATTCCACTGTCGTGTTGTCGAGTGTAAGACGACATTGTCGTCGTTGTTGTCGTGTCGTGAAATAAAGAACACATTGATCGCATGCGGTCCCGCCTGTTGCTGTGTTCCAGACGCCACGGTGGCTAGATGTTAACTGCCTCGCCTGGTGCACAGGAGGTCGTGGTTTCGATCCCGACCCTGACGCCTGCTGCTGCTGCTCTATATTTGGAGTTTGCGTCTCTCCCCGTGGTCACGTGGATTTTTTTCCGGGTCCTACAAATTTAGAATCAACGTGACGTGTTTAGAGTATTTGGCTGCTATGCATTTCCATGTGATGAGCCTCTTTGTTGGGCTATCATTTGTAATGGGCAGGTCACCTCTGCAAAAGAGCTACACATTTCAGTGGGGCCTTACCTGGTAATATAAAAAAAACATGTTTAAGTTTAGATGCAACGCTGCCCATAGACGCAACACTGCACCAGAAACTCAACGCTGCCACCCATATGTTGTGGGTATAAACTTCGCGGAGACGTCTTCTCGAGGCAACGCGTTTATTTCAACTAAACAGTAACAACAGCTGTAACACTACGGGGTACAGCCCCCTTCACCCGATAACCTAAGGGAGGTTCAGCCCAGAGGTTGCAAACGGGTACCCGTACCCGATAGCGACCTCTGGGATGAAGCCATGTTGAAGGCGCGGGTGGGTTGATTCCAGGAACTTGAATTGTGAGAAGAGACAAGACGTTGGGAAATGAGTGACAAACGGTGACTCACCAGTGACTCGCGGTCTACCCGTACCCGTACCCGGCCGCACCAGGGTCGCAAACAGGTACCCGTACCCCCCTCAACTCTCAACGCCGGGTATCGGGTAGGGTACGGGTATCGGGTAGGGTACGGGTAGGGTACAGGTATCGGGTACCCGGTTGCGACCTCTGCTTCAGACGCCTTCGGATCTTGAGTGGACGAACACTGGCGGTGGCCGTTGAGAGGGGACCGGCTTTTATAGACAAGATGGGGCTTACCCCGCCCCTCGCCCCTCCTCCCCCTCTCGAACTTTCCAGAGGGCTCTGGAAGGGACGGGAATGAACCGTTAGCCCCCACCCCCCTACCCCGTGGGGGTCTGGGGTCTCCACTTCCGGTCACGAGATGCCCAGGGGGGTTACCTTCGGTTAACCGACACACATCCCACTCAGCCTCCAGCCTGCCCCCTATCGGCCTGTGAGCGTGGTGGCGAGTAAAGTAACAGCGCCCTGGTAACGGCGCAACACGTAGACTCGACACTGCTCATAGACTCACCATAGACTCAGCACTGCCCATAGACTCAACACTGCCCATAGACTCAACACTCCACCATAGACTCAACACTGCTCATAGACTCAACACTGCTCATAGACTCAACACTGCTCATAGACTCAACACTACACCATAGACTCAACACTGCACCATAGACTCAACACTGCACGGTAGACTCAGCACTGCCCATAGACTCAACACTGCAACATAGACTCAACACTGCTCATAGACGCAACACTGCTCATAAACTCAACACTACACCATAGACTCAACACTGCACCATAGACTCAACACTCCACTTTAGACTCAACACTGCTCATAGACTCAACACTGCACCATAGACTCAACACTGCACCATAGACTCAACACTGCACCACAGACTCAACACTCCACCATAGACTCAACACTGCACCATAGACGCAACACTGCACCATAGACTCCACACTGCACCATAGACTCAACACTGCACCACAG